TATTCAGGAAAGGGGGGACCTGGTGTGATTTCCTCTGAAAAGGCACAGAGTTAAAACTCTATGAAAGATTAAAGACATCCTCTTGAAATTTATTTTTCTCAGTAAAAAAATGGGTAAGACTATTGTGCCTATGGTAAAAATAATAGCAGGGTGACTCAGACTTATTTACAACCATCAAAGAAATGAAAGATATGGATCATGTCACTAATTAATCTTTTTATCATTATCAAGTGGTGACTGTATCCAGCTGAAGAGTGCTGTGTGCATAATAGCACAATTATGGGGGATGTGATGATGTAACAGCTGCGAGTGCCCAGCATTTAGCCTCTCTTTTCCATTCCCACCCACCCTGATCTCTGGCTATATTTAGTTGTTTTACACAGTGTACCTGGACCAAAGTCTGTTTTACAAAATTAAGAGAGTAGAGAGAAGAGTCAGCGTCTTCATAGAAAAATCAGGCTTCCCGATGTTTATTTCCCTTGATTACCCATGTTCCTTCTTGGTTAATGTATTTTCTCCTACATTGCACCTAGAATCATGACTGAAATACAATCATGAGTTTACTTTGTGTGAAGGGAAGTAGGGCATTGAGCAATCACCTAATGAATACAGTCAAGATGGTTAGTGAATCTGGAAAATTCCACTCTCAAAAAAATTACTTTCTCTACTCCATAGCAGATTTCCTCTTGGCCTTAATTATCCACAGAGTTGTCCAATTTTCTGATAGTCTTTACTGTTGTTGACATCACCCTAATAATTTATTTAATGGATTTCACTGGGTTCATTTGGGAGCCCTTTATTCTTAGTGGCTTCTTTTATCAATTAATTTATTTATTCAATAAACACTGAACACTGTTCTAGTTATCTATTGCTGTGTAATAAGCTACCCTAAAACCTAGTGACTTAATGCAATAATTTTTTATTACCACATGTAGTTCTTAATGTTGATGGGCTCAGCTGGGCAGTTCTTTCTTGAGTCCCTCACACAGTTGTGGTCAGATGGTAGCAGAGACCAGAGGCACTTTCCCTCTGTGCCTCTCCTTGGGCTCATCAGGCCTCCCCCTCTCTCCCCCCACATGATTAGCTTGGGCATTCTCAGAGCATTCTCAGAGCTTGTTGATCTTTTGGTAATCAACCAGCTTACCTTGTGACCAACTCTGTCCAACATGTGTATTCTAAAAGACTTCATGTGGAAGTTGCAAAACCTCTTCTGACCTAGCCCTAGAAGTCATTTTCTCTCTTCTGTTTGTCAAAGCGGTCACCAGACTTAACAATCTACTTCTTGGACTCCAAGAGTTGCAGATGTAGATTCCACCTCACAATGGTGGAATGACTTGTACCTTCAAAGATGACCACCTAAGATGACAGTGGTCACCTCAATACCAAGTTACCTCTGGCACCTGGTATGTGACAAGCCTTATGGTAGGTGCTGGGGAAAAGTGTTGAATAAACCAGGCACTTGTGGAGATTAAAATCTAGCTTAATTAACTTTAGTCTGATGTGGTGCTGTTTACAATCAATTGCCCAACAGTGGATCTCAAAACTCAAGTGTATTTGGTTATGAAACTGACAAAACAGCTATTCTGATCATTTGTGGTCTGGTCATTTTGACTTTCTCAATAACCCAACTAAATGAAATTCGTGGTTATCTAATCTATAACTTTATAGCAAACTTGATGAGCTGATTCATCTCTGTATTTTTAAAAACATAATCTGAACAAAACTGGGATATTCATCTGTGTCTTCACATTTGAGTTCCTGCGGGGCATGGAGGATGAAACCAGCTTTTTAAAACTCCTAACAGGGAATGTGAGATAAGCTGGGAAGTCAGGTTTTGCTCCTGATGAACTTCTGTTCTTTTGATTAGTTCTGATCTAATGCAGGTGGGGTAACTGGTGATGATGACAAGCAAGAGGGGAACCCAGACAACACTTGCTAAACTAGACAGGCAGGATCTTTCAGTTTCCCTCCAGAGAATTATCTTTTGGGGAGAAGTAATGGGTTATTTGCCTGCATTTTCATGTCTCTTGTATCATCAAAGGAAGGTGATCAAGGTTTGTTAAGTAAAAGGAGATTTCAGGACAGGAATGTTTGCAGAAGAATCAGTGCCGTTCAGCAATTCTCAGATCTTATTGTTTTTGGCACAGTTTGTGTCCATTCAGTGTAACAGCTATGAGGGGCTGGGGGAGGGGGCTCATGATGACACAAGAGATACCTTGACATTTCAGAGGCAAAGGTCAAAGCCCCAAAAGTCCAAGAGTATGAAGAAGTCCTGTGCACACTTGTCAAGTTCCCTGCCATGAAACCAGTATCATACTGGGCCTTCTTAGGTTATGTCTATATACTGTGTTATCTTATCATGAAAAGACATCCTAAGGGGATATTTTATGTAAAACCACAACAATAATATATACTTGGCCTTAATTACAAGAATGGCTCAAGCAAAACTAAATTTTGGCCTCATTGTCATATAGTGAGTCTCATTTATCAATCCATTCACTTTAACTTTGTAGCACATCCTTCATCAATATGCAGACTTGTCTCATACTAGTGAATCTTGTGTCCCCTAGGTATGACTTACTAAATTAAACTTTTTTCCATTTCTCATGCCAATTTACTTATCTGCCTGAAATGCCTATTTCTACTTGACCTGGAAATTCATAATAGATGTTAATAATCACTTATTCTTCATGTGACCAGCATATACTTAGTTGATGTGTTTTGTGTTAGGTTGTTATTTTGTGCCTGATGATAGATATATCACTTTATAACTTTTCACGGGCACCTAATTTGCCCAATTAGTTGGCAAACTGGCAGGAGATTCTCTATATGCACAGATGTGTGGCTGTGTGTGTGTGTGTATGTGCACGTACACTAAGTCATTTCAGTCGAATGCTGGAAAGCCCATACACAACTGTGTGCTCAGTCGCTTCCGTCATGTCCAAACCAACTCTTTCTGACCCCATGGACTGTAGCCACCAGGTTCTTCTCTCCAGAAGAATGGAATTCTTCAGACAATACTGGAATAGGGGGCCGTTCCCCTCTCCAGAGGATCTTCCTGACCCAGGTATCAAACCCATGTCTCTTACATCTCCTGCATTGACAGGCGGGTTCTTTACCAGTGCCACCTGGGAAGTCCAACTACATATGTACATATGTTCACACACACATAACTATACATGTGTGTATATTGAAGTTGCTCAGTTGTGTCCGACTCTTTGCGTTCCCATGGACTGTAGCCTACCAGGCTCCTCCATCCATGGAATTTTCCAGGCAAGAGTACTGGAGTGGGTTGCCATTTCCTTCTCCAATGTATGTAGATATACACACATAATTATACATGTAGTACATGTATACATGCACACATACAGAGGAGACTTCTTTCAACAGCTGATTGACATGCTCTATGTTCCACTTTCTTTTGGTTTTTATAGGTTAAAATCAACTGAACTATTTTATAATTACATGATGAATTGGATCATACATATTATAATGGATTATTTGGATTTTTAAAGCACCTTAACTTCACAAAGATGAAAATAGTCTAGATTATTGCTCGTCTTTTCCTCAGAGAAAGTTCTTTTCGTAGATTCATAACAAACATAAGTACTTGAATTATACAAGTACTTGTGATTGATTATTTAAGGCAAAAATGTTTTTTTTTCCTTTCCTTTGGAAATGTAGAAGTCTTAATTCTCAACTTAAGGCTACCAAGCCTTTGCATTTCTGTGTTGGCCTTGTGGGAGTTTATCAGCTTTTGTTTTTATAGGTGGTAAGGGAGTTCCAAGCGTGGCTTGGAGGACTTGATCTCTCCTTGATGATGTCTAAATATTCCTCCCACTCAGACTTCCTAAATGAACAAACAGTTTAAGTAGAAACTTGAGGTTGGCCTCAGGAAAAACTTGAGGATGGTCTCCCGACCATCATGTTACCTCTGCTCGTCCCTCTTCTAACTAATTTGCTGCCCCTAAAATCTTTTATATGCAGTTTGGTGCTGCTGCTGCCTACTTGCTAGATAAGGGGCATCTCAACTTGCCTGATTTCAGGGCCACTAGAAAACATTTCCTGTTCTCCAAATATGATGAACGATTTCTACATTCCTGGTTTTACATTAACATGGAATAAAGCTTTCTTTTCTTAACGAGGCACGTATTTAGAATATAAATCCTGTTGGAAGCATTGATATAATACTGGTTCCTTTCCACGTAAAATGATAATGACTAGCAAATATTCTTTTAAAACAACTTTTGATTAGGGAAAGTTATCAACTGAATTTAGGACAATGGTAGGCCACCGCATTCTTAAAGCAGTGGGTTCAAAAGTAAAATATCCTTACCCTATGGAGAATCCAAAATGACCCATTGAAGTGCAGAAGGAAGGTATTAAATCTTTTATTTATTTTAACTTTACGTTTCTTTTTTTTTCTGAAGCAATATTCCTAAGATATAAGCCAAAATTCTTTTTCAGAATGTTTATTACAGCACTTTTTATCATTGCAAAAAAAATATGAAAACTAACTATGTTGCTAAACTTAAGGTATTGAATGAACAAATTCCAATTTGTATATAATGGCTTATTCCTTTTACATTTCATCTTAAAGTTTGGTGTGTTTATTTTGTGAGGCACACAATATAGAAACACATATGTAATTTGTAAGTAAAAATACACACATTGGATATGCCTCAAAATTTTTTTACTGATAGAGGCACATGATCTAAAAGGTTAGAAACCAAACCACTTATAAAGAGTGAATGTCGATGAGATCTTGACAATGCCACATGGAGTAACAGGAAATTGTTACAGAACAAGTGTTTACAACCTCAGAATTCTGACTCCTGTTATTACTGATTTCAGTTCATTGATCAATAGGTAGTTTACTCTCAACCTGACACAGGACAGTCCCTTTTAAGATGTTGAGAAATTGCTCAATTTTAGGATGTTGACCAAAGAAAGTAGATTTTAATCATGCTTTTTTTTTTTTTTCATGTTGTTTTCTCAAGGGTCCCATGGGAACAGAAAGTTTTGAGGGTGTTTACTGTTTGTGCAAGATGACTGGTTGGGTAAAGAAGTTCAAAGTTTATTATCTGCAGAACAAATAAAGCCTGGGCAAAGGTAACTGAAGTGAACGTCTCCCACCTTGTCCCTTGAGCCTGTCTAAGGGGATATTTGCCCCAGAGATTGCATAACTGAGAACCTAATCTATGCAAGTCAAATGGAGAGGAGGTGCATTTTAGACTCCTACTGGTTAAAGAGTCCCTGACTTTTATTTTTCTTGGTTTGAGAGGCAGCTGATGGTGGTGCCTATACAAAAATCATTTTAGAAATCTATTTTTGGATAAGCTATTTCTAACTATCTGGGGTTACTTGTCAGATAGCATCTGAGTGGCTTAATTAGAATGTTTCCTTCTTCCCCAAAGGTAGACAGAACATAGTGCTAGGTGAATACTAAAATAAGTTTACTAATTCAAGGTTCATCTGGACTTTTATTGTTGGTACTGATTAATGACATCAAGGATAGCTAGACTGTTCTTATGATTAGTCCATAGTAATTACTGACAAGTATTCAGAATGGTCAAACATATGATGTGAAGTTCAGCTATCTTTTAGAAGATAACATCCTATGCATAAATGTTGATGGGAAAGAAGTAGAATGTGATTGAATGGTTGAGCTTAAGAACTTATTATTGGGGGAAAAAATGCTTTAGGTCTCAAATATTCTTACTGACCAAATATTTACTTAATCATTCCCATTTTTTGGACTCTTTGTTGTTGTTTATAGTGGAACTTGATATTTAGAAAGCCAGTTATGGAGGCTTTTTATATCATACAGTCATGAAGTGTGATAATAAATGAGCCAGAGGCCAATTGTGGATAGAGGTTTTGTAGATTAAAGAGTTGACATTTCATTTTAGAGTAGGTATTGCAGAGTTTTATGAACTTTTTTCAAATATGTTTATCATCCAAAGACTTTTTATCTCAAATAAATATTTAAGAAAGGGTTTAAACATTAAGAACACAGCGATCAGAGTGAGACTCTGTCTAGTTTTTGGATGGCTGAAAAAAATTTCTAATAGGATTGGTAATGTGTTGAGAGAAATCCACAAAGAATTGCCTCTCTCTGTGTGAGTATGTATGGATAGACACAGTGATAACTAAAACTAGTTACTTGTTCAGATTATCCAAATAACCACAACACTTGCTGGTATAATTTTTAAAAAAGAAAACAAACAAACAAACAAACAAAAAAAACACCTTCAATTTCCCAATATGGAACAGAAAAATTCCCATTACTAAAGCCTAAGTCTTTCTATGACCTTGGTTTGGAATTTCTCTTATGACCACCTATTCAAGTGGAAAATAACTAAATACAGTATAAACTTAGATATTTGGAAGTACCAAAGGCTACAGAGACACTGAATTGAATTGTAAATGGTTGTGTAGATTCTGGATTCTTTCAAAGTCCAGAGTAGGCAGTTACATTTCTGAGTCTATAAACGTGTAGTTTTTCCTGAAAATAATGACCTTTGGAGGGTCCACCAGGATCCAGGATTCTGTCAGCTGCCTGTCCAGGGCTTACCACGTCGAGTGTGTGACTTGTCCATCCCACCTTTGGAAGGAGCTGCTGTCTGAGGAAGGTTGGTGACTGTGGGAACATGTGAACGCTGCGAGAGAAAGTGAACTCTGTGGTAAAGATGATGGAACAGTTTGTGATTCAAAAATAGCCTTGGAAACTTGCAGCGCCTATTAGATCAGCCAACAAATAATCATAAAAACAATAGTTCTCTACCCGGGGACATTAAGGCATTTGGTGAAGAAGATGACAGGATGGAAGAGACAAACGAGAGAGACAGAAGGAGAGAGCCAGAGCGAGGGCGCATGGCTGGCGGGCTGCGAGCTCAGAGGCCTGGTTTTCCAATCTGGCACCGGGCTTGATGAGTCTGTTTATTCAGCTACAGTATCAGACGTTCCCTTTTCCTGCCCGAAGAAGTCCCCTTTGAAGAACTGCTCTGCTGGGGAGTAGTTTCCCCTTGGATGGGCTAGTCCTGTTTGCAGACCTAAAGGAAAAGTGCTGGAAAGGCCACAAGAATGTTCTTTAAAGCGATATTCCAGCGCCACGTGAGGGGAGGATGAAATTGCTGTAAAAGATGTATTTCCTGGTTGAGGTATTTTTTTCCCCTCTCTAGTGAATTAGGCGCTGAACAAAGGCGTCACATGAATGCGACGGGGGTCAGAGGTTCTTGGGGGCCCTCCAGGCCTGTGTGGTCAGGTGATGGCTGGGGGTGGGAGAGGAGGGGCATGTCAAGCTCCTGTAGGTAGACCCCGAGTGAGGAAAGCACACCTGTGAGAGGCGGAGAAAATTCAATAGGACCGGCATTCCACTCCTGCAAGTCTTTATCTGCAAAGGAGTCAATGGTGGTGACTTATCAGAGCACCAGCCTATGCCTTCAAAGCAGGGTGGCAGACGGAACTCGAGTGACTGATGGGACAAGGTTCATAATCAAATTGGACCACTCAGAAGCTGACATATTCAACTTTGGAGTTTCTCATATTAATTTTTTACATTTCAGTGCCCTTTTTTATTTTTCAAAGAAGGTTTTCATCTAGCCCTCATGTTAATCCAGTGAGGCAACAGGGTAGATGGCCGGTTCCTCACTTTTCCTCTTTGGAAAAGGATGGAGGCAAAGAGAGATGGTTCTCTAGCTCATCACTGGCAGGGGCGGAACGACCACCCAGGTCTCTTGACTCCTGGACCAGGTCTCTTTCCTCTGTGTTCTTGGGACCTGTACAAAGTGATGATGGGAGTTTCAGAAAAAAGGAAGGTGACATTCTCCATCTCCTCCCAGGCACATAGAAAAGTGACTGTGACTTTGAAGTCACCGCTTTGCTGTGTCCAAACGCTCTCTCTGGGACTGGCCTTAGGGAGGAGATTCAAAGTGAAACCTTCAGAGGGGAAGTCTCATATTCTAGTCACTGTGGCTGCCCATGCCTCTGGTGGGTTTGTTCAATCTTTACCTGCACCACATAAAACAGGAGTTCTCCAGAATGAAAAGGGTTCTTTGTTCCATCTCTCTGAGATGAACACTTTCAGTAAGAGATGCCACTTCACAGTGAGGCCAGGCTCTCCAGGAGAGGGGATGGGACCCACACACTCTCCTTGACTCCTGCCTGAGCCTCTGTGACTCTTGGAGTCTCTCGGGGCCTAGGAGTGAGGTTCATGCAGTGCCTATTTGAGGATTAAGAGAGAACCAGAATTTTCTTCTGGGGAATATGGATTTGTTTGTCAGAGCTCCAGGGAGAAACCTTTCGAAGGGGTCTTATATACAGGCTGCCTTTTCTGCTTTGATATACACAGGCTTGTATTTTATCTATTTCTGGGTGTTTGTCTTCTTTCTACATGGAGAGCTGGAGTTGCTCGACATTGAGCCATATCTCATAATTATTTGTATCCTCTAAGGCTTCCTAGTGCTTAAAATATCTGATGGATGAATGGGAATCCATTTTCAGCCAACCCCTTATCCCAGCCTATAGTTTGAATCAGAATCACCTGGGAAACAGGCCTATGTACTTTGAAATAAGTCCTGAGATGAATCTCATGTGAATCAAAGTTGGAGAATTACTGCTTTATCCTTTTTCTCCTTGGCTTTGAGAGTTCTTGGCGACTTTAAACAATGCTATAGATGCAAACAAAATCTCAGATTTGCGTCATGTTTTCTCACATGCAAAGTTTATTTCTCATGTTCATCTCATTTAATCCTAATGTAATGGGGCTATGTTAATAGCAGTCCTATGATATGGGTTCCCTTTCCACTCCCTTTATGGAGAAGGACACAGGGAAGCAATACTCTTGGGCTCACATAGCCAATCTATGGCAGAGCCTGCATTCATCCCAAGTCCTGTGACTCCAGGTGCTCTGCCCTTCCCCACCACAACCCCTGCAACTCCATCCCTTGGCAGGCATTGCTGTTATTTGTGTGGAGGTTGTTATTCCTGATACAACTTACAGTCCACATGACTGGGGGCGGTTACCGTGATACAGGAAGCCAGAAGAAGCAAGTCTGTTCTCCTAAAGAAGTCTGTAGTAGAATAAGCGGCGAAGGTTAATAATGACGTGTCCTTTCATGCAAATATCAGAGTACAGTATTTTGTGCTCATTATTAAACCGGAAAAGCAGAACTGGGTACCAGGTGAGAAAAGAGAGTCCTTTCAGAGAAGGACAGACTGTGTGTTTGGTGATAGGTGAGTCATCTGCTAGGTGTACTCTGTTCTCCTGATTTCATTTTACTGGAAATGCTGAAGGAATGGGAAGCAGGCTGAACCTCTAGAATTGGCTGTGTGACCTGGAGTCCCAGGGACAACCGGGCCGGTTCTGTTGAGACTGGCTTTGTTAGATGTCTGGGAGGTTCAAAGCTAGGGAGGTCCGAACAAGACACCTGAGGGAGTCTGGACATAGGGAATTCTGTGTTGGATGGCAGTTTTCCTCTCGCTTAATCTAAAAGGTCCAGAATGCTCCAAAGTCCACTTGACACTCCGGGGAACATGTAGCCCCACTAGCAGAGGCAATTTAGTGGTTGCTAGACTATTGTAAACAGAACTTTCTGGATGGCTGTTTACTCTTTGATTAGTTGCAATATACAGACAGCCATCAGAAATGGAGACTTGTCAACTGAAAGAAGAGGTGGGCCTGAAACTTCTGCTTGTCCTGATTCTCTTCCACCCAGCTGGGAAAGGCACACTTCTTTCATCATGGAGTAACAGATGATTGATATGACTGTACCCTGATTAGAAAAGGTTTCATTTTACTTGTGCATGGTACATGGAATTAGTTAAGGGTTGCACAGGAAAAGAAGTGATGGACTATTGTTCACATTAAATTATAATGACAGCCTTCCTAACCACTGTGTATTTATTATGTAAGAAAAGAAAATGTCTGGTAAAATTCTGTATAGGTTAATAACACCTTCATAATATACTCCTTCTTTTCTATTGACTTGAATAGCCCTCCTACTGACTTTTAATGGATTATTAGAGTTAATTACATCAATTGCAATATAATTGATTCTTAAATACTATGTAGAAACCT